GGAGTCTTTTTAATAATAGGTCTAAGTAATGCCCGGTTAAGAACGTAGCATGCCGTGTTGACCGCTTCTCCCCAAAAATATTAAGGTAGGTTGTGTTCATTCAACATGGTCCTTGACATTTCTTGCAACGTCCTATTTTTCCTTTCAACGACTCCATTTTGTTGAGGTGTTCTAGGAGCCGAAAAGTTGCGAGAAATACCGTGTTCATCACAATATGTCTCAAAATCGGTATTCCGGTATTCTCCTCCTCTATCACTTTTAATAGAGGTCATTTCATAACCTTTCTCATTTTGGATTCTCTTGCACAACTTAACAAACGCATCAAACGCATCATCTTTATTGGCAAGTAATATAGTTCAAGTATAACGAGAAAAATCATCTACAATTACAAAAGTAAAACTAGCTCCACCTAGGCTTTGAACGTCTTCGGGCCCAAATAAATCCATATGTAATAGTTCAAGTGGCCTTGGCGTTAAAACCATTTTTATGGGCTTAAATGAAACTTTATGTTTTTTTCCAAGAGAGAAAGCATCACAAAAACGAGAAGTAGGTATGCTCATTTTTGGTAGCCCAACAACAAGTTCTTTTGAGTAAAGTTTTTCTCAAAAGATCATAACTAGCATGTCCTAGTCTACGATGCCATAATGTTGAAAATTCAAGTGAAGTAGTAAGACAAGTGATTTTTGAGTTGCTTAAGTCATTTGAATTGAACTTGTATAAGTTGCCATCTCTTTTAGCCTCAAAAATGATTTCACCTTTATTTTGACCATATAAAACGAAGGAATTTGCATTGAACTCAATTTTGTGGCCATTGTCACAAAGTTGGCTTATGCTAATTAAGTTAAATTTGAGGCCATCAACAAGATAAACATCATTTATTGAAAAATCACTTGAAATACCTATCGTACCTTTACCAATGACTTTCTTCCGGGATTTGTCTCCAAGGCTCACATGTCTATGACTTCTCTCCTTGAGATTTGTGAACCATCCTCTTGTTCCGGTCATGTGTCTCGAGCATCCACTATCCACAACCCAAGTGGTATTTTTCACCTAGTCAAAAAGGAATTTACTTTTGACTTAGGTTTGGGGTTCCAATCGACGAATACCCTATGTCGATATACGAGTTTCGTCTTGGTAGGTTCCGGAAGTGGTATATGGACTTTTCATTTTTCGTCATAATAAAAGAAATAGTATCCACCATCATTTGTTTTATTTTCCTGCAAAAAGGGTTTCTTTTGATATCCAATATTCTTGGATTCCGACCGGTTAGAACCCTTCTTGACACATTTTAATTTATGCATTTCAACTAACCATTTGTTTGGACACTTTGTCACAATATGGTTAGCTTGCATGCAATAATGGAAAGTCTGTACTCTTGATTTAGAAGTTGAGGCTTGGTTTGATGGGTTAGTTTTAGAGGTATTAAAATGGTTTTTAGCCATACTCATCAAGTTTGTGGATTGACCATAACCAATACCTTCTTTCGTTAGTTTTGGTTGGTTATCACATTCTTTTGTTGAGTTATAGCTATTGTAAAACATTTTCAAAGCCCCTCGTTTGGCCTTGTCTTTTTCTTTAATCAAAATTTCAATTTTCTTTTGAATTTTGAGAACTAACCTCTTCTTCATCATTGGAGGCCATGAAGCAAGCATTTGCGTTCTCTTTTAGGCTTTGGTGACTATCACTTTCGTCGGAGTTTAAATCGTGCCAAGTGACTTTTAATGCCTTCTTCTTCCCCTTTTTAAGCTCTTCCTTCTTTTTGAGCTTTGGGAACTCCGATTTGATACGACCTACATTTCCACATTCATAGCAAGTTATTTGATTAGGTTTACCTTTATTTGATGGAAATCTTTTTGAGGATTCGCCCTTGTTCCATTTCATAAACTTCTTGTATCTCTTGAACATGGCAAGCTCCTCATCACTTTCTTTTTCGCTTTCCGGATGGTCATCAATTTTGAGTGCCATGGTCTTCTTGATGATAGGAACCTGTTCTTCTTCCTTCATTTTCTTCAAAAGAAGCTCGTGAGAGTATAGGCTGCTCCAAATGGTGGAGGTTTCAACATCCGCACATTTGGGCAACAAGTTTACAACAATACTATGCCACTCTCTAGGAAGATAGAATATAATCTTGGTGTTAATCTCACTAATAGGATAAACTTTATTTAGCTTACTCAAATTGTTGATGCTGAGGTTGAATCTTTTGTTCATATCTTGAACGGACTCTCTGGCCTTCATCTTGAAGTTTTCATACTCGGATGTTCCTAAAGCTATCTAGGTAGCTTTGGTGTCTTTATCTCCTTCATGGGTGGCTTCTAGGAGCTTCCATGCTTCCTTTGCGGATTTGCAAGAGCTCACCCTAGCAAACTCATCTTGACCCAATGCACAAAACAATACATTTAATGCTTTGGCATTCAAAGAGAGCTTTTTCTTGTCATCGATTGTGAGCTTGTCCATTGGCGTAGGCACTTGATGTTCACCTACAGTTGTCATGGGAACAAAGGGACCATGAGTAGTGACTATCCATAAATCATAGTCATTAGATTGAATGAAATTCTCCATTCGCATTTTCCAATAGCCATAGTTATCACCATTGAAGAATGGTGGCTTGGTAATGCTTTGGGAGTTCATTGAATCCATGTGTCGTAAAAAGAAGTAAAAGATGAATGTAAAAGGATCAAACTTCCTGCTCTGATACCAATTGAAAGTCGGTTTACACCCTAAGAGGGGGATGAATTAGGGTGTTTGCAAGTTTTTCGTAAAAACAAAAACTTATGCGCAAAGTAGTAGCGGAAAAAGAGCAAAAAAATATAAAAGATAAAAATACGACACAAGCGATTTTATACTGGTTCGGGAACTCCCTACTCCAGCACCTCGAGGCTCCTCCTCAAGGATTTAACCTCCACTTACTTGTTTGGCTTCACTAAGAAGACTCAAACGAGGTTTGGCAAACAACCCTTGCCAATAAGCAAATGAGATTTTAATACAGCTATCTCAACCGTTTACAACCGAAGATTTTAAGGCTATCTTCAACCTTACAATGAGGATTTAAACGCTATCCACACCTTATACAAATCAATAAAAGATTGGTGTTGCTTCTCTACCAAAATGATAACAAATATGAATTGGGTAGGAGAAGAACAAAAGATTAAATCAACAACAACAAAAGCCTATAGGCAAGATATAAAATAATGAAGCACAAATGCCCTTGTGTGTGAGTGTATAAAAATAATGAAAGCTTTATAGTCAAAAGAGTATGAAAAACAAGAACAAAGCTTTTGGAACACTCAAGATTAGAGAAAGAGGCTTTAGATTTAATTGGGAAGTTGTTGTGAATAAAATGAGACTTAGAGGGGGTTTATATAGGAGTTTGGAATGTTAAAATTTGAGTTTTTAACGTTAAAAGCCGTTAGGAAGTGATTAGGGGTGATTTGAATTTAAATTGGCAATTTGCTACAGTGATTACAACGGATCCGGTACCCTTCACGGTAGGGTCAGTACCGTCCGGTACCCAGGTACCGTGACCCATGGTATGGCCTACCGTTTGGGGGTACCGTGTAAGCTAAAAGATTGGTTTGCCTCTGACACTATCTGGTTAGGACGGGGGTGGCCAACCGTCTCTGCCTACCGTCCGGTACCCGGGTACCGTGACACGGTAGGGGGGTACCGTGTAACACTTGGTTGAAACGTACAGCGGTACGTTCGCTTGGCAACTGGCGGTACCCGGGTGCCGTGTACACGGTAGCCAGGTACCATTAGACCTGTGTAAATTTTCCAAAAACTCATTTTTCGTGTTCCGTTTTAAAAATAACCCCAACTAAGAATATATTTGACATTTTAAAAATAATTTCTAAACTCGTAGGAGTATTTCTTGGTGATGCTAAACAAGCTAATAGAGGATTGGCGTTTGTTTTCTTCCTGCAAATGACGTTAGTAACATTTGAAAGACTTATTTGGCACATCAAAACGATTACGGGGTACGGCATTCAAGGCCAACAATTCACCGCCGTCCACATCTAGCGCCGGGAGATGAAGTTATCATCGATGTTGATTGATTATAAATCTTCACTGTCAAAGCCGCTTGGCTATGAAATCTGCCACCGGCAGTGGATCCCCTCCATTCTGAAATGAAATCAACTTCATCATGGGAAAAAATTACTTGTCATTTTGAGGGAGATCTATCATCGGCTCTTGCGGGGTATCCATGCACCCACACTCCCATGGAGGTTCGCCGCCGCCGCTGCTCAAATTTGCCGCGGCCGCTGCTCAAATTCGCCGCCACCGCTGCTCAAACCCACTGCCGCCGTAACACTCGACCATTACTGCCACCGTTGGCCTTTATCCGCAAGTGGAGTCCACCATGGACGAACTGGTGTTTATATTGGGAAGGTTGATTACTAAATTGAAGGCCATCATCTCTCGAAGGTGAAATCCACCATCCGTTCTCTAAAATCCACTGTCCGTAGCACGTGGCCACCACCACTGTTGTTGCCCAAATTGAAGGCCTAATTGTTGAAGGCCATCCCAGCTTATATTAGGACACACCGACGTCATCGCCAATTGTGTAGACCTTCCATCACCGCGGTTACTTAAACCATAGTTGTGGTCGAGGCTCACCACCACCGGCTTAGAAGGATCCTCTCTCGATCTGCCCTACTTTCGACTAGGGGGAAACAATACGATGATGGACTCGGCCAGGCCACTGGTTACCGCTATGGTCTAAAATTTCTCATCGTCGCTGGACTCTTTTCGTGGTTGAAGAACGGCTGCCGCCATTCCGCCTTGGTCGAATCTCAACCTACCGTCACCACTGCTAAGTTGCCGAGATCCATCCCCCATCGCCGTTGTAAAATTCCATCTCTTGCGCTAGTGCCTTCAGTTGCTGCCTCCCTTGGATAATTGGATTCCAGCTCATTCAATCTCACTTCCAAAAGAATGAGACAAGGGAGAAAGATGCATGTGGGATGTTCAAATTGATGCTCTGGACAAATGCAAAACTAGAATAGAGAATCCCATATTGATTATTGAGGAGCATGCATGACATTACTTCACATGTGGGTATGGCCCACCCATGGGCTTTGATACATGCATTTGGACGTGTGGTCATTTCAGAATAAAAGGCTCATACTCCACATCTCCTTCAAACCAACGAGGTGGACTTGGCGCATACAGACGGGATCAATTATAAATTTTCAAAGAAGACCGAGACACAGGCCCGGACCTGGCACGCCAGTTACTACAGTGGTCTTGCTCAATATAAAAAAAAGATAAACCCGGAAGAGGGGCCCTGCAAGAGGGGTATGCCTGCAAGAGGGCTAGACCTGGAAGAAGGTTCGAACCGTACTTACACTGGCCCATGAGGTTTGACCAGCATCGGGGAATCAGCCGAGACTGGCAAACTGATTGGGGACTAAAAGATGCCCATTAAAACAAATAGAAGACGGTCGTCCACCGTGATGCATCCTATTCCGACCGCTTCGGATTCCCCCTTCTCAAGGAAGACTTGAACGGGGGGTGAGCTAAGGCTTTCCCGGGATAGTGAATATCAAAGGGCCATTAAAAGACTTAATCACCCGGAAGAGGGGGCCCTGGAAGAAGGGTGCATTTTGGGCCTTGGAGAGGGCTCGGAACCATCCCACATGGTTCATTCTCCAATATTGATCTGGCCCGACCAGCATCATTATCTTATACGAAGACTGAGACACAGGCCTGGCCTGGCACGCTGGTTTCTACACTGTCTTGCTCAGTATAATAAAGAAAATATGTGACCCAGTCGAACTGGTACACTGGTCTCACACCGGTATTAAACATATTTTCCAATAAGCCTGAGCCCAATCGAATTGGGTACACCGATTGCACATCGGTTTCAGCAAAAAAGTGAGCAAAGCTCATACCAGGGACGCCCGATTCATTTAAGCCCTCTATTCGAGGCACTTTGATCGAAGATGGTCTCCGCGAGACATGAAGATATTTACATCAGTCTGCCGGGCTAACACTGATCTTCAACAAAGCTACTGCATCGGTTACTTATTCGTACTAACATCGATCTCGATGAAATAACTACCTGAAGCACCGCCGCTTCATCGTACCAACTCCAGTGTCGTATAACTATTCGAAGCATCGTTGCTTTATCAATCTGACATCACTCTCATTACGGTAATAATTCACGTGAATTTTAATCACCTAACACCGAGCTCCTCTGTAAAGATACTAATTTTTTGAGCACGGCATAGGCCGGTCAAAAAAAAAATTGTACATATTACTTTTTGCAGGAAAAACTTCTGATTCAAGAAATTAGAGAATTAATGAAGACTCGGAGGACTAGCAATAATATCAACCGGCCAAGAATCCAAAGTACGAAGACTGAAGATAGCATTCAGAGGACTTATTTACTTTTTTTAAGTTGATGATTCTCACAACTTAAAAAAGTGGAGGACTTCTTGATGGGAAATAATACGTGGCTCGGCCCACATTTCCCAATTATGTACGAAGAACAGTCAAACCGGGCCTGTTTAATAAAGTGGAGGAATAATAGAATATTCCTCCGTAGATGCTCCAGCTACTCCTATAAAAGGAGGGCTCCCCCTCAATGTTAAGGGAGGCCAACTCCTTCCATTCTCCCTGCCCAATTGTTTCTCTCTCTAAATATCTTTAGAGTATATTTTTCTTCTTCTTCAAGTGCTTGAAGCTCCACACTTTCTCCATTAATGGCTTCCGAGCCCATTTCATGTACCTTGTACACACCCCTGATATCAATAAAAATCCCCCGTTGGCAAGGTACCGCCGACTATACAAATATGGTAGCTACCAATATACAATATACAATAATATTAAATATAGTAATAATATATTTAACCCATCGAGCTTTGTACCTGGACAGTTCACCTGTAGGGCCAAGTTTGTGGCGAAAGAGCCATTTCCCGGAGATAATGTTTTGGTCGAGGGAGGGGGG